CTTAATCTTGTAGGGATGTCTGAGTAAGTAAGCTTGAAACAAAATAAGCGACTGCAAGAAGTGACAGTTATCAACTTTGAATGTGCGTGAAGCTTGATGGATCATCTAGAATAACAATTCAACAGACATGAATAAAAAGTTGAGGTATTAATTTATTTCCCTTGATACAAAAAAGAGCATGAACACGCATAAGCACTATGCTTTAAATAGCTGAAATGGAAAAAAATAGCTAGCTCAAATCAGATGGCACCTCACAAGAAAAAATAGAATCTGAAACAACATCAAAGAAAAACACTAAACATCCAGATAGAACAATGAGTAGTAGTCTCCTTTCTTTGATTTCAAGAACTTATAAAGATTAGTAGTCTCCTTTCCATTCATTTCAACCTACAAAAAATAATAAATCAGTACATATAGTTACATGAAATTTTCTTCAAAACAATGACAACATAGTAAAAATTTCTGTTGTATATTTGCTAAGTACAAGGGAGATCTATAACTAAGCCAAAATTTAAAGCTAATAATATTGTCGTGTGAAAATTAACACTGTATTTACTTTTTTCAATCATGCTACCCATCGAAAACCAAATCTAGTTAGTTTGAAGATATTCACATTTAGAACATCTTTGCAACCTTTGTTGGATTTCATTTGAATTATCTTTCCTGATGAAAGATGATGATATACAGACAAGAATAAATTTGTAATAGAGCATCACCAAAAACCTTACACTACACAAATTAGTGGAATTAGTTTTGTCCTTTTGACTATACAAATATGTATATTCCAAGAAATTAGTGGAATTTGGACACCATAATACTACACAAATTTATTCAACATTTATAGGCAATTGATTTCATACTTCGAAGATAAAGAAGAAAGATTAGTTTCAAATCCGAATGGACGTCAAGGTATTTCTATGTGAAGTAGAAATATCTCCATGGTTCTTCTCAAATATAACAGAACATCACCAAAATAAATGTTCACTATACATTATTGGGTCATGAAGAAAAGAGTTGAATAAACAAATGTAAAAAAAGATTATATCTTTTTTTATACATACCAAATTAAATGATACAGTAGCAAGAAGGAAGAAAACTGTATTTTGTCTCAACATGTTCTTACCTTTGGTGTTGTCTTCGATGTTGTTCAGGTTTTTCCTCGATACCCACAATTGCCTCTGCATCAATGCTCAAATGCTCGAATCGAACCTCATTTGTTAGATTATTAATCCCAACCCCAAAAACACCAAAAAAATTACCCAATCAATCAAACAAACAAACAACAAATAACAAACAACAAACAAAACTCAATTCAAAATCTAATATTTACCGCTCTATTTGATTCTTGAGTTTTAGCAAGAACCTTTCAAAACATTCACTATAGTTTTGCTTGAGGAATTCATAAACAGACCGCTGAGCTCTCTAAAGCGGACAATGCAAAAACAGAGTTGAAGTAGAAAATCAGCACTTGAAAATTACATATTAATAGGTTAGTATGCAAAGTCCATCAATAACTTAAAGAACCAATCTCTCATATTATTTGGGTATCCCATATTATTCACAACATATGCCTAAAATACAAAGTGATAAAACATGAACTGATTTAGAGACTTTCCCAATCGTATCTTTCAGCAAGAAAACCAAAAGGAAAGTTGTTCTCCAAAAAAAATAGTGAGTTTATTAGAAAAACCTTGCCTCATCCTTCTCATCAGCTCTCCTACAACTTTATAGGCAGCTCCCTGCCCCCTTAGACCAGAGCTGGACACAGTCAGACAATCCTAGAACAACCACTTTAATGCCATGTTCCTTATCTTCATCATAAAACCAATCCATAGCAATGTGAGGGCATAGCCGAATCGATGCAGGCTTTAGATTTGGCACATCTCGCCGTAGAAAAACCCCCTGCTAGCAAACAAACATAAACAAAAGGAGAGGTAACCAAAAAAACCAAATGGAGTATCTATACACATACAAATGAAGGGTTAAACTAAATTTGCACCTGTAGTGAAGAAATGGAAAAGGTTTCAAGAAATGCGTCGAATCGATGCAGGCTTTAGATTGGGCATCTCTCATCGTAGAAAAACCCCTAACTGCAAACAAACATCAACAAAATGAGAGGTAACAAAAAAAACTAAATGGAGTATCTATACACATACAAATGAAGGGTTAAACTAAATTTGCACCTGTAGTGAAGAAATGGAAAAGGTTTCAAGAAATGCCTTTGGATTCCGCTAATGGCAAATGCAGCAATGGTGAGGCAATCGGGAAGAGCCTTGATTCTCCTTGGTGAGGATCGACGCTTCAAAGATATGTTTTGCTTGGTCAAAACACTATCTCATAATAAATAAAGGGGGCGTTTTGTCGCTGCGTTGTGCCTTATAAGGCAGGGATATATTGTCGATATACCCTATCTTATGAAGGCGCAACGTGGCCAAAACGTCACACCCTTTATAAGGCAATGACTCTATCTTACCCCTTCGTAAGATGAGTTCAATTTCCTTTTATAACTGGAATTAACAAACGTTTAATTGCTTGTTCTCAGTTGAATACCCTTCTGGAGCGTTCTCATCTCACGCAGTATACGGGCGTCGTGGCGAGTATTATTCGACCTCCGACGATGTTTCCCCTATCCCGGTCACTCCTCAGTTCGTCTTGGGCACATCGACTGAGGTTGCTCAGGCGGTGAAGGAAGGTGGGCACCGAGCTCTTCGACAGTTGATTACCGATGCACCTCTTGTGAAGGACGCCAGTTCTATTCAGCCTCTTCGGAAGAGTGATTTCTTATTTGGCGACTCTGTCGAAGACCCGGATGCCGTGTTTATTGAGGCTGAGCAGTGGCTTCATAAAACTGGCAGTGGCTTCATATACTTGCCGAAGATTCCTCGGCATCGTTCATTGACTGAGCTCAGGCGTCAGGCCGTGACACGGGAGATGTCGTGGCGCTTGACGGAGGAGCATGAGAGCGTCCATTGCGGCTACATCACTCATCAGGCGTTTCCTGGCTCGAGCAGAAGTCACATCACCGGATTGCGTCCCGGAGTACTGGGGCTGGATGCACCACCACGTAACGAGTTCCTCGCCACCGCTTCTACCTTGAGGAATCGCCTCGCTGCTCTAGGACGGGAGATGCCTGCGACGCGTCACAGGATTTATGGTTGGGTCCATTCTTTGGACAAGTTTTGGTGGACCCGTATGACGACGTATGTCTTGAGCCGATGGGGCGAGGAGTTGCACGCTTGTGGTTTATATGCAGCCGTTCGTGCCACCATGTATGGCTTGCCTGTCAGCGCAAGGCATTTCTGTGCTTTGTTCGAGCTTTATAATTCAGATTCGAACACTTTTCTGACCCGGCAAGGGGAATTGGGCTTGGCTCTTCACGAGATGCACAGGATTTCTGGCTTACCCATGGGACAGATGTTGTATCAGGAATACTTTCCCTCCAACCATGAATTAAGTCTGCTGAAGGATCGTATGCCCGATCGCTACGAGACTCTATGGGATCTCACTTGTCACTATCATATAGCTTTGGCGCAGTCTGAGCCTTTAGCAAAGAGGACTAAGACATTCGTGAGTCTGAAGCAGTTTGCCAATTATTTGTTCAAGAATCTGGAGAGTAATTCTGGCGAGGCTATTTGTGAGTTGGCCCCACTTACTCCCTCAGGGGTGAACATTCTGATGAAGAAGATTGATGCTCATTCTTATACCACTAGCAGTTCTGAGGGTGGTTTTCCTGCAGGGACCAAGTTCAAATCATTCTTGTGGCATGCTACCGCACCGATTCGACCCATGACCCTTCTTGCCGGTTTCCTCGCTATTTGGTTAAAGAAATGCGTGGTCTCATATCAGTCTTGTGACGCTCTGCCCTTGGAAGTACTCTATCCAGCAGTTCAGCTTGCCTACAAGAAAGAACTCTCACTTCTTCCGGTGATGGTGGCTAACATTCACCGAGGACTTCGACAGCTTTCTGGTGCCTTTACACGGAAGGAAAAGGAATCGCCGACTCAGATTCCCACCCTTAAGACAGAGCTCCCGTACACTTACTTGATGGCTTGGTTCGTCCTTCACCGTTCTGATATGATGTCGGTACCGAGCGCCACAGATCATTCCGTTCCTTTACTACAGTTGCTTGAGAACGGCAAGTGGGAGGGGCGCGGATTTTCTGACGTCAGGCAGCAGCTGCAGGTCCACAAGTGTTGGACATTTTCCACTTGCTTTCCGCAGTTCTCCGGCCGATACGGTGATTGTTTGATAGATGAGGAGAGGCCGAGAGAGTATCGAACTCACTTGGACATCGGGTGCTTTAACTGGCTGGTAAACATTAGGCCAGGTTATTTGACTTTTCGGGTGAGGGATCAGTGCTTCATAGAGCCATATCTACCCTGCCGATTCGCTCGTCAGTTTGGCTACGATCAGCTTTACGTCGGGAATCCTCGTCAGCAGCTTCGGGCCCACGGTGGTTTGGTAGATGGTCTCCGTGCGTGGTTGTGGACCGTGACTGGCTGTACTGGTGCTAAATTCAGTCTCCCGAGTGCTGATCGGCAGTTGAACCTCACTTTCTTAAGCTGCAAGTGGTTGTTAGCAGCCAACAAGACTATCCCCGTGAAGCCGATTGCAGAGTTAGAGGCCGAGGAAGCTTCTCAGGTTGATTCCCGTAGGATTTGGGAAACGCTCGATCACAGAGGACACGGAACAAGACTCGTCGGATTGATGAAGAGGGAAAGAAGACCTTTCATTCCGCAGACGAGGCTTCAGGGGGAGATCCTGAAGGTTATGAAGACTTTTCCGAGCGAGGTTTGCTATTCATCTTTTCCTTCCATCTTCCAGAAATATTGAAACTGACTATGGTTTGATGTTTCAGGGACCACAGTTGACCAGGATGAAGAGTTCCGTCCCCCTCCCCAGGCGAGACCTTCGATTATTGTTCCTGCTGCTAGGCGGAAGAGATTAGCCCGCAAGCCGCGTGCAGCTTCCCGAGCATCTGATATGGACTTGGTTGGTGATGATCCTGCTAGTGACGGAGGTAACATCTACTCTGTAAACCACCTTCTTGGTTATTCGGAACATTGACTCATGCTTTTCCATCTCTATATAGGAGAGCGTGGAGAGAGCGAAATGAGTCCCGATTCCGTTCCTGTGTCTCCTGGTGAGCCTGACCCGCTGCCCCAGTTAAAAAGGCCTACAGGGGTTGCCGACATTAGGGAGGATAGCAATGTAGGACCTGATTCCGCAGATCCAGGTACATCTACTATTGACAATGTATCTTTTAGATGGTATACAAAAGAATTTGTGCATCCTCTAATCATCTCTGTACATCTTGCTTCTTCAGATAACTTGCAGGAGGCATACGTGGATTTTGGGAATAAAGAGGCTAACGCATCCATAAGGGGTAACTCATTTTTGTTGGTTGTAGTCTCTTTATTCTTCTTTGGTACTTATATTCTTTTACGTCAGATTTCTCTATTGATGATTTTGACGAGGAAGGCTTGATCGCGGAGACTCCTACACTCCACTTCATGTATAGCTCTCCTCAATTTGATGGCCAGTTACCCGGAGATATATTTTCCGAGCCTACGTTCGATAAGAATCTTGAGGATGATTCTTTCGAAGGTATATGCCTCCTCCCAAATTAATTATAGGACTAGCCAATTTTGACTAATGCAGCTATAATGTGATGCCTCTGAGAATTCTGACTTGTATTTAACAGGAGTTTTTGTTGAGAATGACCCCGTTGAGCCGGCTATGGGACCAACTACACCCGTTGATACACCCCCAGCCGTTACACCTCCATCACCCCCAATGACTCAAGAGGGTATAAATACTATTTATTTACTCTTCAAGGTCTTTTTCTGACGGTTTTTTTTTTATCGTGCAGGGAATTCTTCTCGTCTTCATATTCTGGCGAGGGAGTTGTTATCTGATGATGATCCTGAGAAGATTGTCATCTGCATAGAAGTCCGCTCCTTCTTCTCTTTCATGAATGCTATGATTGGCAAGCTTTTCCATGGTGGACTTTCTCTTCGCCAATTCAAGCCTTTCCTTGATTCTAAAGTCAATTTGATAAGGGAAGCGGGACATCCAGATTTGGCACAGGCTATAGTTGATGACCTTGATTGCCTAGAGCATGAGCTTCAGATGTTTCGTGAGCTCCGAGATGCAGGTGCCTCCTCATTTATTGCTGCCGAGCTGGACACCCGCTTACAGTCATCACGCGAGACTCGGATTTTTGCTGAGCTCGAGATTCAGATGCAGCGGGGCCGAGTAGATCGAGTTAAGACGAGTCTTGCTACTAAATTATCTTCTCTTGCCGAGCTCGATCTTTCTATTACCTCCTGTGCGACCGAGATAGACCAGCTCAGAAGAACGCTCCGTGAAAAAGAGGAGACTTTGGATATTCTTCAGATGACGAAAGCACAGGATCAGCAAACCCATACTGCTTTATCTGATGAGTTGAGGTCCCTGGAGCAGAAGCTAGCCGAGACAGAAGAGATAGCTGCTAGGACTTCAGCCACCACCGAGGAGTCCATCAGGGCTGAGCTGAGACAAGCTTTTGATGAGAAGCTATCTAGGCTTAATCAGCAGATTTTTGGCCATATTCTTGATGTATGATTTTGTTTGCTGAACACTTTGACTCTTGATTTTCTTAGTGAAACTTGCTTTCGTTTTTATTATGATTCGTCATTCCATTTGAAATGATTGACCACAATACTCATAGGATTTTTGGCAAACCCTCAGCCATCAACGGGTTTGATGAGCCTTTACCGACTACCGTTTGAGTCGGGCTAGCATGCGGATTATTTAAATCCGTTCGCATGTAACGTTATGCTCGGAGATTGAATTCTCCGAGACTTTGCGCTATGATGTCGAATACATAGACTTCGCCATTGTTACGGGAATAGGCTACCCGGCGACACGTGTTAAGTGTTAACTTCAGGATTTTTGGCTAACCCACAGCCTTCAACGGATTTGATTAGCCTTTACCGACTACCGTTTGAGTCGGGCTAGCATGCGAATTGTCTAAATCCGTTTCGCATGTGACGTTGTGCTAAGGGAATGAACTCCCTTAGACTTTCGTGCTACAACTTCGAATATGTAGGCTTCGCCATTGTTATAGGAATAGGCTACCCAGCAACGTGTTTTGAACGCTGACTTATCCCTACTTAGGCTTCGGGATAAAATACCCTAGACTGGTATTCTGGTGTCTTTTTCTATGGCGAAAGACTAAACTAGCGGCGCGTGTTAGGCGTCGGCATATCCTTTCTTAGGATTCAGGATGAAATTCCCCACGCGTGTAAGGCATGGATTTTGGTGTTATTAATAACAACCTGCCACAATGTTGAATATGTGGACGGATGTTCTTTTCAACGGTTAAGAACTAACCGGCAGCGCGGGTTAAGCGCAGACTTATCCTTGCTTAGGTTTCAGGATAAAATACCCCAGAATCAGACTCTGGTGTCTTTTTGTGCGGAAAAAGACTAAACCGGCAGCGCGTGTTAGGCGCAGACTTATCCCTGCTTAGGATTCGGGATAAACTTCCTAGGATGAATCCTAGATTGATAGATTCTTAGAAAAGGTTGGTGCGGGAAAGGAAGAATTTTATATTCTATTTCCCGGTCTTCTTTTAGGGTGAAGGCGAACCCAACAGACAAGGAAGGAAGAATTTTATATTCTATTCCCTGATTCTGGAAAGGAAGAATTTTATATTCTATTTCCAGCGCAAAAGAAACTAGAAGTGGGATCTCCACTCCGAGAATCTGGAAAATTTAGATAAACTTGCCTTTTATAGGATTGATTATCTAAATTGGGAAAAAGAGTTCTTCGTTTATCGAAGTGAAGTTTCAACTTTGGCTATAACCGTGAGAAGATTTAACCAAAGAGAAGAGAAAGGAGTTCTTTCGTTTATCGAAAGGAGACTCTGATCTGAAAGGGGACCTTCTTGTCTATGGAAAGAGTCAAGAGGGCCAGATGGACATTTTGGTGGACCCACTGTCAATTGAAATTGATCAGTGAGGGATTTTGGTGGAGACAATGATTTTGGGTTATCCTCTAGAATATTAAGTGTAATATTCTTTAAGGAACTTCCCGGTAAATGGGTTATCCTGAATGTACTAAGGATAGTACTTTTTCAGGAACTTCCCATTTATTGGCATTAATTGCCTGGCGCCCTCTGGAGTAATTAGGCGATATGCGCCGTTTGAGTAGACTGTGTTTATTACAAACGGTCCTTCCCATTTAGGTTCGAATTTACCTTTCTTCTTTAAAGTGAGGATTATTGGTCGGCAAGCAGCGAGGACCAGATCTCCTTCCTTGAAGCTTCTCTGTCGGACTCTTTTGTTAAAAGCCCTAGACATCCTGGCCTGATAAAACTCAATTTGCTGTTGATCTTCCAAGCGCTTTTCATCCAGCCTCTCAAGCTCTTCGAGGCGCTTCTGATGCTGTTCTTCTATCGTCATCTCTGTTGCGAGGGCGATCCGAAGGGATGGAATCTGAACTTCCAGCGGTAGCACAACTTCGCATCCGTACACCAGTGAATACGGGGTGGCACCTGTGGGTGTGCGTATGGTGGTGCGATAAGCCCAGAGTGCTTCACCGAGTTTATCATCACAGTCTCGTTTATTGGTCTTCACGAGCTTTGACAGGATCTTAATAATCGTCTTGTTAAACGCCTTCGCTAATCCATTCGCGGCGGGATAATAAGGTGTTGATGAAACATCTTCAATTTTGAACTTGTCACAAAATCTGATGAAGGCGTTGCTTATAAATTGCGGACCGTTGTCATGAATGATCCTTCTTGGCACGCCGTGTCTGTAGATAACGTGATGCTTGATGAAATTGATGACGTTGTTCGTCTTTACTTCTTTAAGTGGAATTGCTTCAGCCCACTTTGAGAAGTAATCCGTGATCGTCAGAATGAATCGATCGCCTTTGATTGAGGGGGGAAAAATAGGACCAACAATGTCCATGCCCCATACTTCGAACGGCCATGATGTGGTTGACGTGTGCAACTGTTCTGGTGGTTGATGCATATAATTTGCTTGTATCTGGCAAGCGTGGCATTCTCGTGCGTATTCGATTGCGTCACGAACCATCGTTGGCCAGAAATATCCCATCCTCCTGATGCGATCATACAGTTTGGGACCGGGTTGATGCGCACCACATTCTCCTTCGTGCGCTTCCTTAAGAACTTCTTCTGCTTCTCTGTTCGAAAGGCATCGGAGTAAAAGACCGTCGTACCCTCTACGGTATAACGTATGGGTCTCAGCATTATAAAAGAATCTTGGCGCTCTTCGGCGAATTGATTCCCTTTCTTTTACGTCTTCTGGCAGAATACCATACTGGACGTAGTCAATGATGGGAAAACGCCAATCTCGGGACTCAGACCCAATTTGAGTTGAATTCACCTCTTTGGCGTTCACGTTTCTATCCTCTTCTTCTTCAATCTCCGTACTGTATATGGGTACGCAGAGTTGATGCGTCCGTACTGTGACTAACAGCTCAGCTTCGGGAGGCTGTGCCAGTGATACTGCTAGTGCCGCCAGTGCGTCTGCATAAGCGTTCTGGAGACGAGGGATGTATTCAATAAAGAATTCTTCGAAAGATTCTGCCATTTTGATGGCTTCCTGGTGGTACGGGATCAGGTCTTGATTCCTGACTTCATACTCACCGCGAACTTGGTTGACTATCAATTGCGAATCTCCAAAAGCTTCGAGATATTCGACCCCCAGCTCTTTGGCGAAACTGAGTCCAATGAGAAGCGCGTTGTATTCGGCAACATTATTGGAGCACGGACTAGTCAACGAATAGACTTCTGCTGTTTGAAGTGCAAATCGTACTGGGATAGGAGGAGGGCCCATTTTGCCAAACGCCAGTTCATCGAACCCGGTTGTGTCATAAATACTCGCACGGGATTAACATTGGAGATAACATAAATTGTCTGTCCCACTAAGTAATGCCGCATCTTTTGCACTGCAAACACCAACGCGAGACATTCTTTCTCAATCATCGGATATCGAGACTCAGCGCCCACCAAAGTCCGACTTAAATAATAAACTGTCTGTTTGTGACCATTATCATCGTCTTGTGCTAACAAAGCACTTATCGAATGGTTCATCGCCTTGATGTAAATCAAGAACGGTTTACCTGATTTTGGTGCAACGAGAACAGGAGGATTTGTCAGATATGTCTTGATATCCTCGAGTGCCTTTTGGCAGGCATCGTCCCAAATAAATGACACACCCTTCTTGTTTAGTTTAGAGAAAGGTTGGCACTTCCCAGAGAGATTTGAAATAAACCGTCTGATGTAAGCTAAACGCCCTTGCAATCCTCTGAGTTCTCTCAGATTCCTCGGGGGTTGCAATTCATGTATCGCCTTCACCTTATCGGGATCGATATGTATACCCTTAGTGGTGACGACGAACCCAAGGAATTTTCCACTGGACATTCCAAGGAATGATTTAGTGGGGTTCATCTTCAATTGATGACTCCTCATGAGATCGAACATCGTCTTCAAATCCTTGATGTGATCTTCTTTGTTGCGGCTTTTCACAACCAAATCATCAACGTAGCATTCGACTGTGTTCCTGAGATGTTCTTAGAAAATCTTAGTCATCGCTCGCTGGTATGTGGCACCAGCATTCTTCAGACCGAAAGGCATCACCGTATAGCAGAAGACGCCGAGGGGTGTTCTAAACGCCGTATGCTTCTCATCTTCCGGATGCATCTTGATTTGGTTATATCCCAAAAAACCATCCATGAAGGACATCCTCTCGAATCCACATGTATTGTCGATAATGACATCTGTGATTGGGAGAGGAAAATCATCTTTTGGACATGCTTCATTCAGGTTCCTGAAGTCGATGCAGATCCTGATTTTACCATTCTTCTTCATGACGGGAACAATGTTGGCTAACCAGTCTGGATGTTTTTCCTCTCGGATAAATCCTGAATCGATCAGTTTTTTAACCTCTGCCTCAATAGCTTCCATGATCTGCGGACGAAACCGTCTTTGTTGTTGCTTGACTGGTTTGGCATCCGGCTTGATATCAAGGCGATGCATTGCCACATTGGGGTCGAGCCCTGGCATATCTTCGTAGTTCCAGGCGAAGACATCAATGTATTCTCTGATCAAGGCAATTAATTCATCCTTCTCATCTGGAGGAAGACTACCGCTGATGAATATGGGCTTTGGATTGGCCTCATCGCCCATATTAATTTGGAGTACTTCATCTTCGGTTGATGGTTCTCTCTGTTTGAACCTATCACCGTACTGCATGTTTAGGTGATGAACCCATGGGTCTTCCCACGTTGGCATTTGATCGTCATCCTCCAACGTAGATGGATCAGCTGTAGTCATGTTTGACATTAAGGTTTTGAACATTTCTCCCAAACTGGTGTCGGAATCCTCAGCTGAAGAATCTGGCAAGTACCCATCCTTAGCTTCATCCTCGTCTTCTCTTAGGAAATGATCTGGCAACGGAAGATTTTCTCCTTTACCATAAATCACTTCCTTTTGTCCCCCTACCTTGGCAGGAATAATTCGGGTTGTTCCGAAAGAATGCTGGAGACTTCTCTTCGTTACATAAGATGATCGGAGCGGCATACATAAATCT